ACTGTACTTTCAAAGATACCCCCCGAATTCTTAATTAATTTAAGAACTTCCCTATATCTACAATCAAAATATCTAGCACACGTCACTGGGTCTGTCCTAAGCAGGGGCGCCATTTCCCTAAATTGTAAATTAAAATTAATTCAATCCTATCTACATTGGGCTTGAGCAGTACTACCAGCTTTGGTCACCTAGTTTCAGCGGCCGACAGAGCTATAAAGAAAGTAGGCAAACCAAACTGGCGAATCATAGCCATGACTTTCTTCTTTTAATCTCCCCAGAAGGCTTCAGGGCTTGCTCATCCACACGGAAATCAGGATCTAGGCGCCTTCCCGAGTAGTCAGCAGTATTTTGAACCTGCTCTGTAGCTCGGACTTGGGTATTTCGTCGCCTAATTGAACGACGCCGAGTATCGGCTGCTTGCCCTTCCGCACGGAAATCAGGATTCGAGCGCCTTTCCGAGTGATCAGCAGTATTTTGCACCTGCTCTGTAGCTCGCACTTGGCTATTTTGTCGTCATCCGCACGGAAAGCAGCATCCAAGCGTCTTTCCCTGCGGTTCGCTGTGTCTTGATCCTGCTCTATATCTCTAATCTCGCTAATCTGTCGCCTTTCTGAACGACGCCGAGTATTGGCAGCCTGTTCGACTGCAAGATCGGTAAGATTAAGTCGTCTTGACCTACGAGACGCTGTATTAACGCCCTGCTCTGCATCCCTGACTAAAAAATTTTTTCCCTTCGCCTACGATGAGCTTCTACATTTTCTACCCCCTCCACCTCTGCATATTCAATGTTTTCCCTTTTTACCCTGTTTTTTAATAATTGATTCCTAGCCCGTTGAGCTGCAGTAGATCTATTTAGTCGAGGCATTTTTATAAAAATATTTAAATTACCCCAATGGAAAATATATCTTTAAAATATAAATAATAAATATAATTTTATAAAAAAAGGATTAGTTGAGTCCTTAAAAGACGAAACTTATAACCCTATTACGATTTTATAAGTTAAATACGTATATTGAAAATATGAAATAATAGTCAAAGAAAAAGTCTTTAAAAAGACCTAGTCTTAAAATAATTTTTTTTTTTTGATTTGATACTTTTTATTTACGTCTGCCCGGGGGGCAATAAATTAAATTTTTTGATACAAATTGAGTGTGAGTTAACAAAAGTTTGTGTGGTGAGGTGTATTTAGAGTTTACAAAATAGGTGGGGGTGGATTAGTGTTTCTGTGACAGTTGGTAATTACATCGGTAATTACATCGGTAATGATGCATTAGGATCAAGGGACCCTGAAGGGCATGTCCGTGGGGTGCTGTCTTTTTAATCGCCGAAGTTGTACATCCAGCACTCTGGAAGCGTGTGGGTTCGGGTGGGCTTCTATTTTATCCAGATTAGAGGTGCAGAAACATCGATGTTCGTGTCCATCGATGTTTTCAAAAAAAAACATCGAGTGAAACATCAATGTTTAAAAAAAAAAAAAGAAAATGCAAAAAGAACAGAAACAGCACAAACAGTAACATGAGATTTATTTGAGATCATTTAAAGTGTCTATTTCTATTCAGGAACAAAAGTTGATCAACAACTTCAGGTTTAAGTCTTGTCCTGCGGTCAGATATGGTTTGTCCAGCTTTGCTGAATACACCATCAACTAGAAATCCTAAATATTATCAAAAATTTTGTTAGTTTTTAGAAAAAACAATAAGAAATTCATTTACTTCCAATTTTTTCTCACCGAGCGCAGAGTTGTTTGTGAAAACATCGATGGTGGTCACGAACCATCGATGGTTCCGATGTTTTGAAAACATCGATGTTATCGATGTTTCTGCACCTCTAATCCAGATGCCGTCTGCTGTGTTTGGCCACCTCTTCGACCACAGTGGGGAGCTTTAGGTCTCTCTTAATCATGGTGTTTCGCACGTAGAAAGGCGCATTTAATATTTGACGCAGAATTCTATTTTCCGCTCTTTCTAGTTTCTTTAAGTTTGAACTTGCTGCGGTGCCTCATAACTCGATGCCATATATCCACGCTGGCTTTAATATGCTCTTATAAAGGAGTAATTTGTTCTTTATTGACAATTTGCTCCTTCGTTGCAGAAGTTACCACATTTGTCGGTTTTTTAGTTTCATAAGTTTTGTTTAGCCCACTATGTGTTCTTTCCATGTAAGTCTGGAATCCAGGGTCAGGCCCAGATATTTGGCTGAAAGCTGTTGTGGAATGGCTGCACCGTTTAGCATAACTGATGAGGATATTCCTGGTCGTAAAGAGAAGGTAATATGCGTTGACTTTTCTGCATTGATGATGATGTTCCATCTCTATAGCCATGGTTTGATGTTTGAGAGAGCTTGTTGTAGGCCTTGCGCAGCCAGTGTCAGGGAGTCTGCGGAGACTAGGAACGCCGTGTCATCCGCGTATGTGCATGCCATGTTGTGGCTACCGGTGGGAATGGGCATGTCCGCGGTGTATACAGAGTATAGATTGGGCTAAGTACGCTGCCTTTGGGGACTCCGGCGGCCACTTCGTGGATGGGCGACTCCTGGTGGTTACATCTCACGTAGAACCTTCTATTATCAAGGTAATCCTTTAGAAGTAGATAATAAGGAGTAGGCAGGCTGTGTTTTAATTTGTACAGTAGATCCTGGTGCCAGACTCTGTCAAACGCTAATATTATAATGCCTACTTTAAGGTCGATACATAACAAATATTATTAAAGTTTTAAAAACCTTAATTAAGTGAATAAATAAATACCTTAATTAATAAATAGAATTATAGGTGTTAGTCTTTAAAAAGACTTAAACTTATAGGACAACTAGATAATAAATACGTAAATTTATAAAAATATAAAAAAGCCTTTAAAAAGACAATTTTCCTTTATTTCTGTAAGTAAGAAAAAAGTGCAAAGCGATTAGAAAAATTGAAAAACGAAAATTTAATCGGAACAAATTTTAAATATGAAAATATAAATGTTTTTAACTTTTAATAAAACAGCTTTAAAATGAAAAAAAATTTAAAATCGAAAATTTACCAGAAAAAAAATTACAATATGAAAATAGAAATGTTTATTATTGTTGATATAATTACTTTAAAATGGGTACTTAGCAAAGTGCGCAGCAACCAGTCATCAGCAAATCGCGGCAGCGACGTCGGCAGAAGCAGCAACAACTCGCGTGCGCGCAAAAACACAAATTTACGTTAACTTCTTGGCAAAGGAAAAACACCAATTTACGTTAACTTCTTAGCAAGGGAAAATTAATTTAATGAGTTTACGTTAAATTGCTTGCAAAGGTTAATTTACGTTAAGAATATCGCTTTTAAATTGGAAGACACTTGAAAAATTCGCAAAAATCGCATTCGGCACACGGTCAATAGATTCGCTTACGATGGTTAGTCGTAGACTAAAGACATAACAGAAGATTTACAGCGCTGTAAATTTTTTGCCCGCCAATTTTACGTGCACGGATTTTCGGTCCTTTTACTCCAGTTCCTTTTCTCTTTTGGCAAGAGTTCTTCCAGTAACCGATGTTCCTGACGACGCAATTCATTTATTCTGTTCTAGCCCTGCAAGCAATTGGGCGATATTTCTATCCCCTGTCGTCCAGGAGTCACATCTTAGTAACTTCTGCGCGATAGAAAGACGATAGTACACATTTTACAAAAACAAAATTGATGGAAAAAAAACAAGACATAAAAAGAGGTCGCAGTAATTTTCCGTTACCCCTTTTTTTCTGAAAATTGTTTGGCCTTTCTTTTGACCCACGCTATTATTTTGCGCCCGAGCGTCATTTCGTTGCGCGATTTGTCTGTGTACAGTGCGGTTTTGTATCAATTTTGTGCGTTTTAAAAATATTGCTTTGTTTTTTCTAAATGTTATTGATTGCTTAACATATTTAAATATCCCCCTCAACAAAGGGTGCGAAATTACGTGCTTATCGTGAGCTGTACGATTATTTAAAGCTATTTACGGACAAGCTAGCTGTGGACATTACTTTACATTACTTACTCATTGTAAAAGGTAGTGTCTTCTAGTTTATTTTTACTTTGACTGAACAAAAAATAATTTTTGTTTCTGTTTCCCTTAGAAATGGTTATTAATAAATTTCTTATGTCGACGGAGCTGGACCTAAATTACATTGTTCAGCTAAATTTCCTACATTTCAGTGACCGTGTATAAAGCGGACAAAGCCCTTATACACAAAATAAATGCAAAATATTGAAAGTATAAAAAAAATGTTTTTATTCAAGTTTTTCCAATTGGGAAAGACTCTTCTAGATATCTTCTACAAGCAAATGTAAAGTCACTTCGGAGTAACTTCCAGAAGTGACTACGGCGACACTTTTAGAAGTTACTTCGGCGATATCGCAATCGGATCGCGGAAGTGACTCCCGTCGGGAAGAAATGTGCCACTTCGGCGGCACTTCTATGAGTGACTTCGGCGACACTTCCAGAAGTTACTTCGGCGACACTTTCAGAAGTAACGCAGAAGTGACTTCGAGAAGTGTCGCCGAAGTGGCACATTTCTTCCCCACGGGAGTCACTTCCGCGATCCGAATGCGATATCGCGGACGATCGTTTTCATCTTCTTGAAGTCACTTAATAGTGCCTTCCGCGATAGAAAATGCTTGCAGGGAGTGCTGACGTAAACCAGTGGTCGGCACACACATACCATCACAAGTTTGCCTTGCATTAGTGTGAGTGTAACAAACACGAAGTTTGCGCGCGGCGTGCTGTAGCGAGACGTTTCTCTGCTTTGCACTGATATCCTCTGCCGCAGCAACAAAAAAGCGCGCCGAAGTTGAAAAAAAATGACCCGAAGACCCATGCCGAAGTCACACTAGATAGGCCGCTGCCGACCACTGATTTAGGGCAACCCACCTTGAAAGCAGGAAAATCTTTCTAAGTTCAAGAAAAATCAGTTACCCCTGAGTCCTACGTCAGAATTGTACGTTTATATACGAACAGCGTGTTTGAGATTACGGAGTAGTAAATAATAATAAACGTGAAGAAATGTTTCAATCCTTGCGAAGTTTGGTAGGCGGGAAGCCCATTAAAAGGGAGGGTACACGCCGAGCAGCCGACGGAATTGAGCCCGAGGCTATCGTTGACTTGACCGAAGATCCCGTCATCAAGCAACTAGTCGATAGAAACAAGGACCCCTGCATATGCCCGGTTTGTCTTGACGTGGTCAAGGAGCCGGTGGCAACCAAGTGTGGACACGTCTTTTGCAAGGAATGCCTGACCCGTGCAATGGGGCCATCTAAACTGTGCCCCAAGTGCAGGAAAACTGAGACCAGTTTCGTTCGCCTGTATACTTATCTACCTTAAAATATTGTTTTTATTGTTTAAAGACGTTTTTGGCTGTGATGTTGGCGCTGAAGAAGATGATATCGGAATGAAATAAACTAAGCCAAAGCATTGGGTATATTGTGTATATTGGAAAATAGATAGCTAAGTTTCTTATTTATTTATCAATCGCGTAGCCTCTGGCTACAATTATTTAATTTAAATCTATATCTAATCTTAATATTAATTGGGTTAAAATGGTTATAGTAAATACATTTGGAATGTATTATAAAATCTATAATACCTAATGCAATATTGCAAATTAAAAACCGAATTTGATTTAAATTCCTGGCATTACATATGTACGTATTGATTTACAATGATTTTAAGCCTAACTACGGATTAGATTGAATATATATTTTAAGAATTGCAGGCAGAAAATATCGCTGAATAAATATACAGCTAACGTAATTTACTATTTTCCAACACTTGATGAAGTAAGTGTTGTAACACTATGGAAACCCTTTCTTTTGAATATATATCGTATATTGATTTATATTGGAGTTGACAGTTCACAGATAAAAGTTGACTAGTCATTAATTTGCAATCAGACAGAGCAGTCGCAGACTAGACGAATATGCCTGGAAACCCAACACCGCAGAATTCCCCAAGGCGCGCCTTGCAGGATACCGCGGAGGACGAAGTGGAGCCCCTTCAGATGGGTCCTTCCACCAGCCGTGGCCTGTCCCGTTCCGCGCCTCATCGCAACATGGCCGATGCAGATTCGTCAACCGGGCGTGAGACACCTGCTTACTCGCCGCTCCCGAAGAGGAAGAAATACTCGCGCCGAAATTCGACCAAGCTTCCCGACTCCAGCAGGGACGTATCTCCGATTCCGGGAATGGTCTACGATGGATCTCTCCCCCGCGGAGCACCATGACAATCAGGATGGATCTGCAACGCATCGTTTCATTACCGAGCACTGGGTGTCAAAGGTGCGACAAGTTCATGACCTATCATTCATAATGAACGCCATACAATCTTCTACATTTAATAAATGCCTTTTCCTAACAACCCCATGTTAACGGAAAAGCCAATTAAAAGGACAAAGAGTGTATTATTTATTTTTGATTTTCGCACTACACTTTATCTATCTGACAAAGGGGCTTTCGAGTGTTATGTGCGCTTCGGTAAGCCCTATGTGTCTCATAGTCCGAAGCGGGGCAAACATTTCTCTGGAAATATAAAGTTTCTTAAGTAATCCCCTTTTTTTTCAATTACAACATGCCGAAGTCACACGAACATGTACGTTATACGTGAGCGAGCAGAGGATGGGCAGAACACTTCCCTATGCTCACTAGATAGGCCGCTGCCGACCACTGACGTAAACCATTACAACTCCCTAAAGCTTGCCCAAATTAGAACTGAAGAATTTGTGTCAACTGCAGTAGATACAGTTAAATCAGCTAATATGTCTATAAGAAGTCGAAAATCAACTCTTAGGCATGCCCAAAACATGATGACCTCTGAAACTCAGGGTCTACCATACATTTTACACCTGAAGACAACTGCAAAATATATGGTTACCATCAATATTGACACAAATGATGGACTTGTAAATGGGGCAACTGGTCAATTAATGGAAATTGACAACTGTATAATTAAGGGCTCATTATTAGTTACTGGACTGCGGATTAAGTTTACAGATGCCACTGTCGGAACTATAGCTAGGTCAAAAGTTCGAGGAAATGATCACCCAGACTGAACTCCAATCTAAACAAGGAAGAACGCTATAGTCGAGTACCTCGACTATCAGATACCCGTTACTCAGCTAAAGGAACGAAATGGAAATGGAGATATGCAGGCAGCAAGGCGAGATTAAAATGCGCCACCTACCGGCGGTAGATCAATCGATAGGTATTGACGAGACCAATACATTTCAGTTAAAAAAATTTGCAGCAAAATCGGCTAAACACAGGCCTTCATGAGAATCTGGTCTTTGTTCGTATCTGTCCAGCAAACCTTTCTGAAAGGTGTCAGTGGTACTTTGAGGCATATTTTGCAGGACGCTTGTAGGTCTAAGCATACGAACACGTTGTTCTGGAGGGAAGGTGTTCATATTAAGGTATTTTTTGCTAGTTCTGACAACGACGATCTCAGACAACAATATACGACCTCCTGAGCAGAGATCTGAGTGTCCGAAATAAATTTGTGACCAAGATACTGTAGCTTTTGACGATTGTTTGAATTGCTTCCTCGAATGTCATTAGCTGCTTCTCGCATTAACTTCGAAATACCCCTTTGGGATTTGTCCAAATTAAGGGTCCATAATTAGCTGGATATCCATATTTGCCCTTTGCATAGAAAGAATGTGTTTATTATAAGCATTTATTTGAGTTTCTTCAGGAAGTGGCTTCAACATTTCCGTTTGGGGTATTGAAGGATATGGAATGCCGAATCGACAAACAGATTGCCCGTGCACCTTTTTAAGACACGAGTGCCCGAGCTTATGCTTTTGGTTTTCAACATACGGAGCCAAATCTGTGTTTGTAACATCCACTGTTACAACCTGATCAATGAAGGCTATTACACTGTACATAGATTCTTCATTCTTCATTCATCCACTTCCGATGCGTCTTTCAGCCAAAACATATCGTGAATATGAGGTGAACCTTTCTGTTGAAACTCAACTCGCCAATAACCAAGTAACCAAATTACTTTCAAAGATCAATTAATTTAAGAACTTCCCTATATCTACAATCAAAATATCTAGCACACGTCACTGGGTCTGTCCTAAGCAGGGGCGCCATTTCCCTAAATTGTAAATTAAAATTAATTCAATCCTATCTACATTGGGCTTGAGCAGTACTACCAGCTTTGGTCACCTAGTTTCAGCGGCCGACAGAGCTATAAAGAAAGTAGGCAAACCAAACTGGCGAATCATAGCCATGACTTTCTTCTTTTAATCTCCCCAGAAGGCTTCAGGGCTTGCTCATCCACACGGAAATCAGGATCTAGGCGCCTTCCCGAGTAGTCAGCAGTATTTTGAACCTGCTCTGTAGCTCGGACTTGGGTATTTCGTCGCCTAATTGAACGACGCCGAGTATCGGCTGCTTGCCCTTCCGCACGGAAATCAGGATTCGAGCGCCTTTCCGAGTGGTCAGCACTTGGCTATTTTGTCGTCTATTAAAAGGATGTTGAGTATCGGCTGCTTGCTCATCCGCACGGAAAGCAGCATCCAAGCGTCTTTCCCTACGGTTCGCTGTGTCTTGATCCTGCTCTATATCTCTAATCTCGCTAATCTGTCGCCTTTCTGAACGACGCCGAGTATTGGCAGCCTGTTCGACTGCAAGATCGGTAAGATTAAGTCGTCTTGACCTACGAGACGCTGTATTAACGCCCTGCTCTGCATCCCTGACTAAAAAATTTTTTCCCTTCGCCTACGATGAGCTTCTACATTTTCTACCCCCTCCACCTCTGCATATTCAATGTTTTCCCTATTTACCCTGTTTCTTAATAATTGATTCCTAGCCCGTTGAGCTGCAGTAGATCTATTTAGTCGAGGCATTTTTATAAAAATATTTAAATTACCCCAATGGAAAATATATCTTTAAAATATAAATAATAAATATAATTTTATAAAAAAAGGATTAGTTGAGTCCTTGAAAGACGAAACTTATAACCCTATTACGATTTTATAAGTTAAATACGTATATTGAAAATATGAAATAATAGTCAAAGAAAAAGTCTTTAAAAAGACCTAGTCTTAAAATAATTTTTTTTTTTGATTTGATACTTTTTATTTACGTCTGCCCGGGGGGCAATAAATTAAATTTTTTGATACAAATTGAGTGTGAGTTAACAAAAGTTTGTGTGGTGAGGTGTATTTAGAGTTTACAAAATAGGTGGGGGTGGATTAGTGTTTCTGTGACAGTTTGTAATTACATCGGTAATGATGCATTAGGATCAAGGGACCCTGAAGGGCATGTCCGTGGGGTGCTTTTACACAGTCCGTCTGCCGCTCCGAATAAACGCTATACATTTTAATATAACCTATTCGTGCGTTATTAATTATAACTATAAGGGTGGCATATTTGTTGTTTCCCCATAAACAATGGGAAAAAGTTGGTACAACTCGCTTCAGCGGAAAATGGGACCGTACACAATAATCGACTCAGTATTTTAGTATTTTTTTCGAGCTTATGTAATTTTTGTATTTGGTGTTTCGGGATTTTTTTGAGAAAGATGTGCAGTTAGACTGTAATGGCGCGCCGTTTTAAGCAAATTGTCTTTAAACCGAGTAGCCTTCCAACGGCTCGGAAGTGAGAAATAACTCTCATTTCGAAAACCTGGCACCAATACGTGCATTATTTATCTAAAGAAAAGGCCATTTTAAGGCGCAAACACTCCTCAAAATGGTTGCTTAGAAATGGATATAGTCAAAAAACCGTATGCAAGGAAGGTGTTATAAATACTTAAATAAGTCCAAACAGTTCTAAGTTGTAAAAATTCTTGTGGCGATACTGTTGGCCTACGAAAGTCCCTCTTTAATTTTCACAAAACTTGCCTAAATGGAAAACTCATCCATTGCTAATAGCAATAAAATAATCATTTGGAGCTGAAATCATTACACATACTGGCGTACAAATTGTATTGAGTTTTTTTATCGTTGTTTTGCATTTTTTTTCGGAGCAACTGAATTTGCTCGTCCTCTCTTGTTGGAATACCCCTATTCCAATACAAAAATTTCATTCCAGTATTTATCGTTTTAGTATTTAAGTTATTATTTGTGTACGAATACGATGGGCACACTGTTAGTTGGCTCCTTTCTCTTTCTGGTTAACTGAATCATCTCCCTTCGGATTCGGTTTGCATATGCCGATCAGTTCTGTTCGCTTCAGCGATTCTCCATATGAACAAAAATTGCAACAGCGATTTTATTTGGCTGCGTACAGTAGATATTAAGGGAGAGTCCAAATGGGAAAACATAGTTGTACCATCTATTATAAGTATATACTTTAAGATCAACAATTCTAGAACGC